AACAGTTTGAAGAACACTATATCAAAAATCATAGAAAACACTATAATCCTAACTCGCAGTTTGTCCTTATTAATCGTCGCATGATAGGTGGAAACGTACTTGAAATCAGAGAATGGGTTTGATAAACACAAGTAAGAAGAGCATTGCTACTTGCCGAACACTGGTACCGAATATATCCCAAATACGACAAAGTCAAACAATACTAGTGTCAAAACAGTACGGGTAAGATATCCCGAAGGCAGTCAAGGAATGGGAGGACGACTGTTGGCAAGAACAACTTATCTGAACATGTATAATGACGTGGCACAAGGTAAGCACCTTCACTAAGATTACCAATAAGCGATTAAGATTTCTTCAGTATACAGTCAGGCAGTTTGTAGGCATCGAGATATAAGCGTAGGAAGCGATAGTGTGTGAGAAAGGCTGCTACAAAACAAGCTGCAAATACAGAAAAGCTCGTAGGCATGAATGTCTATAGGGTACATGAGTTACTTCCTGTCACATGAATTAATTTAAGAACCGATAAAATCTAGAAAGAGTACTCAAGGCATGTTATGAATGTAATTCCCCTCATTGTTACCCTGACACTGTGAAAACAGGTCTAGCCTGCCACTGAAGGTTCAGCAGATAAGAACAAGCTTGCAGTTCGCTTTCTCAGAGACCGAGTAAGACTTCATGGGAAACTACATCGCGTACACATCAAGACAAACAACTTAAATCATTCACAATCATTGGGTCTCCAGTAATATCGATGGATCTTGGCCTAGGATTACTACTAACTGAGGAATTGTAGCGTGGCGTCGAGTCCCAATTGTTTATGAACACCGCTACCAAGAAACACGTGCCAAGGAAATCAGAAGGCGAAGGTTGAACGTAACCAGATTTATTTAGTTGGCGATCTCGTGGTATCGAACGAATACCAAGATCGTACCAAGAAATGGTACAAGCGAAAGCAGGAGAACGGAGTACGTGCGAACAAAGCCAAAAGCCGCGGAACAATGATGGAAGGTAATGGAAGCACAAAGTGGCTGTAATTAGCACAGTTAAACAAGCACGTTAAAACAAGCACTGGTACAGTTGGTTATGATAATGATTGTTTTCATTAAATCAGTCATGTTCTCGTGGTAAAAGTGGGTCACTACAGAATAAAACCTAGACCGATTACACATAAACCCTATTTATTTTTCTGCACTTCATTTTCTCAGTAGACAGAATCTTATTCTCAATTCCAAATTATGTGCAGCGTTGTTAAGCAGTAAATCTGACCTTACTTCAAAAATCTCAATACTCTTGAACTTCCTCTTAGAAGGATATGAATCTTTTGGAGGATTTTTAAAGATAAGGATCAAAGCATAAAACCTATAGTGACCCGCTAGAATATCACAGTAGCTCTCACTCAGATTTAAATAAAAAATAATCAACCTTACAACGTACGAAAGCAGACCATTCAGTCGAAACCACCATAAAAGGCCACAATAAATTTGCATAAGACTTCCCGTTAACCGACGACTACGCAAAAGGGGTCTCAGACTTTTGCGTTGTGTACCCGTTCCATATGGAACTCTGTCCAAATTAAGGTAGCTACCATCTTACCATCATAATTCTTTGTTTTTAATTCACAGTCTTCACATTTTTATTTTACTCGCCACTCAAACTTCATTATAATAACGAATTATTTAGGGGTATTTTATCCCTTCAACGCTTTTCAATCCCGTTATTCTGGGTTGATACAATCAACTAAACCATTGACTAGTGATCTAGTGGCTACTGATTTCAGCAAACCTATGGTCATTTGGAAAATATCAGACGCACAATTACTTTTCAGGGGAGTAACTCTTGCCAAGTAGATGGATAAAGATCATCGGGAGGAACCAAGGTCCAGAAACAACTCCCTAACATGAAGACTTATGCTAAAAGAAATCGAATGATCTTCATTAGCTGTTCACAACGATAGTAGACATTGGATACAACTGAATGTGAATATCAACTGAAATTTGGATGTTCCCAACTTCAGGTTGAATTCGTACGTGTGATAAGTTTCCGAGCGACCATTTACAACGCATACGATAGAACAAAAGTGTTTTACCTTAATGCAAAGATGAAGACAATAACTGGCATAGGGCTGTTTATTTAAAATTTAAAATCGGATAAAAAAATTACTTCTCTACAAGGATTTTTCTATTACTTTGTTTTGTTCACACTGAATAATAGTACAATCTTGCATAAGTTCGCTGAGTAACATTTGCATTGATTAATCAACAACATATTAGATTCACATGGTATAACTGATCAATCAAATTAAACTCCTGGTTCATTCTAGCACGTACAGTGTGACGTTATCAGCAATTTTTGGAAAACCTCCCTGTTGTCTCCAAATCTTGTGAACAGGTGACAAACAATCATGAAAAGAAAAACGAAGCAACTTACGGTAAATTAACAAACTCATAGCATTCTAGATGATCTAAGAGGTTTTCAAAATACTTTGCAGGGCCAGTGAAGTGTCACTTAGCCATAGTCAAATCATCCGGCAGTTGGGTCACTGAATATCGGACAAATCGACGATCCTCGTCAGGGCCAAGGACAACCAAAGCGCATCAGATAATCGTATGCCATGGACTGGCGCATGCGGTGGTGGTTTCGCTGTCTTCTCTGTACTCATTCTTAATAATGCATTTTCATAACAACGTTCTTTTTGTTATACGGTCTTCAAAGCAGCCATGGTACTTTGATACGTTAAAGGGATAATCCACGTTAGATGCTGACCGCGAAGTGTGACTTCGAAGTTAGATGGTTCGTCATACCGAGTAGACCTCCAATCATTCGACATAGACCATCTACGTTGGCGATCTACAACTTGAACAGCTATTAAATACAAAACTATTTTGTTCCTCTTTTTTATTCGCTTTATGTATTCCATGTATATCGAAGTGCTGTTGATGTAGGAAAAGCATAACAAAATTTTTGTGTTAAAGTAACGACAGTCCTTGTCTGAATAACTATATTTTCAAATTGACAACCAATCTCAAAAGGTTTAAAATCTCCAATGATTTATAAATATCCATGTTATACCTGTAGTCTATTAGATATTGTACTATTGAACTGTTCATCTACATTTTCGGTATTTATCTCAAAATAATTTTATATATTTTTATTCGTCGACATTTATGTTTATGTACATAGAATTCTGGTTATCGCTGTCATTCCAACTTTTTCAGTCACCAATGCCAACTGTTTAATATTATGTTATACAGATACCGTTTAAGCAGCTAAAGGGGAACGAAGAAATAACACGAATTCATATTATTCTTATTGGGATTCCTCCTATTTCGTTATATCGCTTCATGAAAATATAATAATCATTTAAGCAGCTGTGATTTGTTGAAAAATAAGTGATTTACTCGGTGAAATAGTTATATAAATTAAACTGACATACAAAGAAATATAGGTTGTAGTAACCATAATCATGTAATATTCTGAACTCATTTTAAGCGTTTAATCTCATGAATAAATCCTCTTTATTTTGTGAGCTCAAATAATGGAAAAGATTCATTGATAAGTATCATAAATACTGATAGTAAGACTGTTATCAGTATAAAATAAAATTTCATATTTACAGAATAGGTCATTAGTTATTTTATATAGTAGTTCTCATTCTTCACCTCTTCTTGTAATTTATGCTGCTGCTGCTGATGATGATGATGAAATCCTGACGATTACATAACTCAGTTCAGAGAATGTAACTTCAGCTAGAAATTTTGATACGCTGGGCTAATCAGACACAAACCAACTGAAAAGTGATGGTTGCTGATGAGCACAGTTTAAAAAAGACAATGATTGGCTTCACTTCCTAAGGAAATAGATACACGTTACTGACTGAAAATGTGGCTTCATTTTCAAAGAGATGAGTATCTATATTGATGATTGCATGGTCACACATATTTGGTTCGCTGAGCCAATAAAAGGTTACCGCTTATTTTTCGTTCAAGACATTCTCCACTTTGACTAGCAACATGGTCTGATGGTTTATTATATTATCTTCAATGTTTTACTGACTAATTTGTATGGTATTTTTAAATCATTTTATTCTTGTACCCTAAATTGGTGCACTCCTTTTCGATTTTCTAGTAACCTTTTTAGATTTTTGGTGTAATAAATACATTCAAAAGGGGTTTTTGCGGAGATTGTAGTAATTTAATAATTGAATTCATGAGTCATTTGAAGCTAGACCACCATGGAAAACCTGAAAGCACTGGAAGATCGTTTCATCCTTCTCAACAGTGCACATTCACGATCCCGTCCTGCGAGATTCCAACCCGGGACTTATAAGTCTTGCACGTGAAGGCCTAAACTCTAGACCACTGAGCCGGCACCCAATGGTGTTAATGTCTAACTTCAACTAATTCATGAAATTGAGCGACACATACACTATTGTCTTCAGTGAGTTACTATCTCACAACAGACCCGATTGGACTCCATTGGTCACTGCTTCTCACTAGAACTCCAGGAAACATTTCTTGAAGCCAGTCACTAGTGAGCATATGTTGACTAATATCAGAAGGGGTTTTGTGGATGCAGGATCGTGGATGAGCACTTCTGAGGAAGAAGAAACGGCCGTTCAGTGCATCCAGGTTTTCCATGATGGTCTAGCTTCAATTGACCCACGATCTCAACTATTAAAATATATTCAGTCAAATACAACAACATTAAAGATATAACACAATAAGAGAAATTATTTACATGCCAGTACAAATAAGATCATTTACTTCAATTAAAAAAAATGATAATTCATAAATAGCTTAAATATTATAATACTATTTTAACAATGATTCAAATTATGGTGGCAATACTGATATACTGTTGACTGAGATGTTCTCTGATGTTGACAATTAATTATTGTTGGTTCAAAATAAATTTTTAATTGATTGGATAATTCACTGTGAGAATGATTAGTGTTATTATTATTTAATATTTGTTTGTGACTAGTTTCATTTATCATATACCTGTCCATATAATTTACATCAGTTCCATTGGGATCAACAAAATAATCCATACTATCTTCAGGAAATCGATGATCACAAGATAATAAAGATGACAAATTATTACATGAAGAAATATAACGTGGAAAATCGGAGTTTTTAAACATTGAACAATCTTTTTTATCTAATAATTCTTCATTAGATGTTAGTGAATTTGACCAGTCTTTTATAGGACTATTATTCATCATTATTTGTTTTGTATTATGATTATTCAATTGATGTTTAGTATTACTATTCTTAAATACCTCTAAATCGATTGAATTACTGATATTGTTTATAGTATTATAATTAGTTGAATCAATAAAAGTTGGTATATTAACTGGAGAAGGCAGAGTAGATAGGAGGTCGTTTAGTGAATTATTTGAGTAAGTAGTTGATTTTAATTGTGTTGTTTGATAATAATTGTATGGTTCTTGTTGATTACTATTCATTGGATGATGAGGATACCAGAAGTGAGAATTTTCATAATATGGATGATAAAAACTAAAATAAATAAATAAATAAAGTATACATTGAGTAAAACCAAAAATACTTTTGAAATATTTAACAGAATTTTTTTGTAAGCAGTGATGGATAGTGGCTAGTAATGGAATCCAGGACGCGCGTTTCGTCCTATTTGGGGCTCGTCAGCTGGAAGTACCTGCAATATCGAGGTATATGCACAGCATGCACATATACCAATGACAGAATGATCAATTGCAGTCTTAAACCTCAGTGGGAAGATACAAGCCAAGCAATACCAAGTGAATTTAACAGAATTGTCTATAAAACATTTAATTAACAAAGACACCGAAATGACAATTCACTAAGGTTCATCAGTTAACCTGAATATTAACTGGCTCTTTGACTACATAGATGAAATGAACTTATCTAATTCATAACTGTATATTGTAAAAGCGATTTATTATTGAAAAACTAAACTAACAAAAATTGATACGTAACACAACAGAAGTTTTTAATTTTGATCGAAACAACTGATAAGACAATTAAGTAATACGACGACATTCTGAAATCAAAAACATGAGATTTATCTTGAGTACGGAACTATTATTTGTGAAAATCTAAGCTGAGGATTTATAAGGCTCAATTTTTGAGGTATATAAAGCGTTTACCACAACAATTTACCATCGTAAAATGAGTAATTTATATAATAGTTATATTAAAATTATTACAAAACATACAATAAACTACGTAATAGTTAATAGCTTTGTGAAGATCTCAATAGTGGACAACAGTCGAAACAAGAATTACTAACATAAACATACGAACTGTTACAGACAAATAACTTTTCAATGAATACATAAGAAATGAAGCAACTGCTGAAATTTTTAAGAAAATACAACTATGATAATAAATAGGCTAAAAGACACAAGTTGATGTACTTATCTCGAAATAGTGCACAAATAAAAGATGTTATACTTTATAGGCTAAAAATGATTGATAATGACACTTATTACTAAATATAAGTAACATGATCTCAATCTCATAAGAAAGAAATGAAGATAAAAGTCATAAACAGAAAAGAACAGTGGAATTTCATTTAAAAACAAGCAGTGAATATTTCCTCATTAATGTTATAAGTTCACACTATGTCACGAATTATTCTAAGTTCATCATTATCTCAAGCTATCTCATTATAAGAAAATACATTCAACAAAACAACTTTTATAAATTCACGTCAACTTCATGTAATCGAGAAGTATGTTGTATTAGTTTACCGGGGATTTTTTCAGTTTCTTCTTGCATTATATTTAAAGACTCCACAACTGATATTTAGATAGTATAATACGAAGAATCTATTTAATAATTCACACATGAAACTATGTGTAAAACATTAGTTATTTCAAAAACATGATCAATGATCAAATAATTCTTGTAATCCATCATATTTCAGCCTGTCGAATCGAAACAAGTGGTTAGTTGTCACTATTAGTGACATAAAGCAAACTTAAACTTTCACTGTTACTAAATATACAAATAAACATCTTTTTAAACTTATGATTTAACTCAATTGACATAATTTACATGTATCTGCCAAAGCAGTTACATTGGTAGAACAGAAAGGAGAGCCTACGTCCGATTCAAAGAACATATTCCGAACAGTTTGAGATCAAACGGACTAAAAGCATTTAGCAGCGCTGTCGCAAGACCTCCTTGACACAGGACACGAACTCAATATACTGAAGTCCTTCAAGGTGATCAACAAACAATCAAATTCAAACCTTTTGAAATTCGCGGAAGCAATAGCAATCAAACGTTTAAAACCAGATCTTTGTATACGAAAAGAAACAGTAATAAGTCTTTCTTTGCCCTGGTAACATTCACCCCACCCCCTTTTCTTTTATTTATTTTTATTACGTCATTTCAACTCTTTCTGAATTTTTGTAATTACATCATTCACAACTGACCAATTCAATTCATATCTCTCTTTATTAACATTAATCTATCTTCAGTTACTTCACTACATAATCGTCTAACGTGTTTTCATTCCATGATTTCTAATCACTATTTCAATTTTCTGGAACCTTCCCTCCCAAACTCTATATATTCGAAACAAAATTTTATGACCTCATTAACTCTAACGAAATCTTTACCGCATTATGTTACATATATTCTTCCTTCATCGCTCTCTGTTGTATAAGTATGTCAATATCTATAATAACGTTGAATTTCAAATATTTTAGGTTGTAAGCAGCTGATGAGAACCTAACGAAATAAAATGAATTCATATTATTCTGCACCAACCTTTGTTCTTACTCTCTTTAAAATGACATAATTCAATTGGACTACATTGATTCTGGTAAATGAAACACTTTACATTTGTAATCCATCTATTCTCAAAATATTTATTTAGACGCAATAATCAAATGATAATCATTACTGTTAATATATGGATAGAATTTTAATAAAACTATATGTAATGTATATACTTGAAAATAGTTCAAGATGGGAATTATTTGGACAATATAGAAATCAAGGATTTCCTACACTAATTATCGAAATAACTACATGTTACACATGATCAGAAAGGTTTAGATATTGTTTTTAAATTACAATGTATATATAAATGGATTCTAGGTAGGTAGTGAATATATATGTATGATAAAGTTCTATAATTAGATTAGATAAAATTTACTGATCGAATGTAATCAGATTGGATATGATATTCATTCTAATTATATGGTCCTTTACTAGTCATTTTGTTGGAGATACTCACTCTTCGATGGGAAAAAATCATATACTAATTTTGGGAGTTTAGTCCATTAATTTCCTATGTGTTTTCATTTTTTGTTTTGTTTTATTCAGTATTAAGTTAAATGATGGATTTTTTTTCACTGTATTTTCACGATATCTATTAAATTCTCTGTAATTATGTGCCGAGTGACGATTTCTCAGTTGGTAAGTTGTGATAAGTAATAATTATTGAATTAACCTATACACAAATGAATAAACTTGAATGGAATTCGATTATTCTAGTATCTTGAATAGTATAAGGTTTCTCTAATCAATCAGGAGCGGAGATTATCGATTAAGTGTTTCGTTTTAACCAAACAGTCTATCCGATTCACAATGACTTCGTTTCATATTAGAAGAATTTCCAGATAGTTTATAATTCAGAAATACAGAACCCAAACAAGCAGCATTATTCTTCGTTCTGGTTTCTTTAAGCTATGTAATCAGTATTTACATTTTTTTTCAAATTGTATGAAATCATAGCAACAACTATATTTGAAATTACACCGATTTCTTTGTAAGGCACATGAACAAACTTTCAGGATCAATTTTATGAAATCACAATTACAAGCGGTGATATGTAGAGTCAAACATGTTAACAATGAGACAATAATTCACTGATGATATTAAATGAATATCATGCTGTAATTCAAACTGTTTAAATTTGTAAACCACTGGCTTATGATTCATCAATTTAAAATCATCACACTGATTCCCATCTGAGATCGAGGGTATGCACTGCTGAATGATCTCATACTAGAACAAAACAGCTGTTCAATGATCTCTCAGTTCTTTTTAATAACTCTCTATCTGACGTCATTTCATGATATAAATTGTCGTTAAAATTATACGAATTTATGTACAAGTAAATTAAGTAATTATTAATACATCATTAGGACTTATTTCGTCAATGAATCTCGACTATGAAGAAACTTTTATGAATAAATTCATAGGCCTAGTAGTAATCACTGTGTAGAGCATAAATAATTTATTGATACGTACATGTTACTGATGTCATGAGATATAAAAGATTATAAAAAACAATAACTAAGATACCTTTATCATTCTACTTTCCTTTGTTACAGTATACTGAATAAAAAGTTGAAAGACCTATACTTCAATTTATGACTATTTCATTCATATTAAAGTCAGCGACTGTAAATTAGACGTTTTGTTATAAAGCAAATTTGTTGAAATCATGCATTTTCAACATTGTTTAGTGATAAGAAAAAAGCGAATTAACTTAAAGTTATTTTTTGATTGAGGTCATGAATCGATCGATGTCAGACCCCCATCTTCCTAGAATGTGACTCCTCAAAAGTGTACATCCACAACCCCGCACACTGGGTTCGAACCCAGGACCCTCACTCTCGCGCGTGAACGCTTAATATCTGCAAATATGCAGTAACCAGTCATTTGTATGATTATTAACAGTAATGTATCACTGGAATATAATGCACTCTACTTTGTGAAATTCATTGTTACATCAAATCTGCAAACCGTGAATTAAATGTTCTGTATCGTGTGAAAAACTGAATTTTTGAGAGGAGTTGCTAAAGTGCATTCAGTAGATTGTTCTGCGAGATGTATTTATCAACATTGTAGATTTATTTGACAAATCTTAAACTTATCAAATTTATACAATGCTTCACTTAATCTATCAAGAGATTTCATTGAACACTTATCGCTTGATTACACTTCTAATCAATTAAAAATACACTCGTAAACTGAAGTACATGATAATTTTCTTCAAAAATGACACTATTACAAGAATTAATCAAATCTTAGTATCCTGTATTAGGTCAAATAGTAGTAAGAGACATGTACATATATGCATCGGTTCAAGTTGTCACATCACATTAGTACATTAGCACCCTATCTTTAAAAAGGGTTCACGTCGTTCCTGTAACAACTATCGGGGGATAAGTCTACTTCCGATTGCGTCCAAGCTATTGGCTTCCGTCATACTTCGTAGGTTGTTCAAAACCCGAGAAAGATTGACTCGCGAGGAGCAGGCTGGGTTTCGTTCTGGTCGAGGATGTATTGATCATATCTTCACCCTCCGCCAAATGTTAGAACACCGCCATACTTATCAAAGGCCAACAATCGTAGTGTTTCTTGACATCAGGGCTGCCTTCGATTCGTTGGACAGGACTGTTCTCTGGGATTGTCTATTGAAGAAGGGTGTGCCTGAGAAGTTTATTAACATCCTAAAAGCCCTATACAAAAACACCTCAGGCAGAGTGAGGGCATACAACCACCTCTCTCCATTGTTCCATTCGAGCAGTGGGGTTAGGCAGGGTTGCCCAATCTCACCATTCCTCTTCAACTTTGCCATCGATGACATTCTGGAAACAGCTCTGATGAATGTAAGTAATGGTGGTGTGGATCTGTTGCCTGGAGAAAGACTTCTCGACCTTGAGTATGCGGACGATATTGTCTTACTGTGCGATAATGCCCAAGGCATGCAATCCGCACTTAATCAGTTGGCAATCAGTGTCCGTAGGTATGGTATGTGCTTTGCACCTTCGAAGTGCAAAGTACTCCTACAAGACTGGCAGGATTCCAATCCTGTACTCACCCTGGATGGTGAGCAGATAGACGTAGTCGAGAAGTTCGTGTATCTGGGTAGCTGCATAAGTGCTGGTGGGGGTGTGAGTGATGAGATCAATGCACGTATAGTGAAAGCCAGAGCGGCTTATGCCAATCTGGGCCATCTTTGGCGCCTTCGTGATGTTAGTCTGGCTGTAAAAGGTCGGATCTACAACGCGTCGGTGAGAGCAGTTTTGCTCTATGCTTGTGAAACCTGGCCTCTCCGAGTTGAGGACGTTAGACGACTCTCTGTGTTCGATCATCGCTGTCTCCGAAGGATTGCTGACATTCAGTGGCAACACCATGTCAGTAATGCAGAGGTTCGGCATCGTGTGTTCGGGCACAGAGATGATAATTCAATTGGTGTCACCATCTTGAAACACCGACTTCGGTGGCTTGGACATGTTCTACGAATGTCGTCCCAGAGAATTCCACGTCGTGCATTATTTGCCGACTCTGGGACTGGTTGGAAGAAGCGGAGAGGTGGTCAGTGCATGACATGGTGTCGTGGCATGAAAGAAAGCTGCAAAGGACTGGCTTGTGTTGGTCCTTCACGACTCCCTGGTTGGGGTCTGAGAGATGGTGCTACACAGTGGCTAGAGACGTTATCAGATATGGCTCAGAATAGAAGCCAGTGGCGATCCTGCTGTAACCTTCTTTTACTTTCTTCATAAAAAGTGGTTGTGTCTCCCTTACCTGAAAGATTTCTTCTGATTGTACCTTTCCGTTCCCTCATTATTACTATTATTACTACTACACTACCTTACACCAAACTCTTCGTTATTGTTCTCTTTTTTTCACGCTCCTTACCTTTTTTTTCTTTCTCTTCGAATTCTCATTGTTTTGTGTGGTACATATATATTGGCGCTCTCTTGTACCAATATTTATGTGTTCAAATAAATAAATAAATAGCACTGTGAGATCCCGGAGTAGTATATGAAGTAACACTACTAGTATTAGCATATTAGATATGATTTGAGAAGAAAATATGGATTCGCGGAATTAACTTACGACTGAAAGACTTAGGATCTATGAGAAGAAAAACAGTAAATGCATCTGACCCATTGCGGATGAAACGGAGTCATGTCAACCAAAATTCTGAGCCATTTGTCATGGTAAGCTTCAGGATCCGAAACAGGCAGTCTGTACCTATCCATATGTCTGAGTCTAACAGTCAATAGTTTCATGTATTGATGTTACATTTCGTGTGTTCACTACTAGTTTTTTTCTAACCTACTATTACACCAAAAATCGTATGGTGTCACCTCGCCCGATGAAAATTCATTACTTCATCAACCAATTTACCACTTTCATCTTGGAATCTTCGTTTAACCTCAGCGTTAATCAATTAGTAGTATCAAAATACACCATAATGATTAGAGGGGTCTGTTTTTAAAGGCCATGTTTCACACTCATAAAGTAGAACAAAGCATGGTGTACCCCATCTTTTAGTTGGTAAAAAGAAATCTTGCCTACGCCACAAGTAATGTGGGTTGACAAAATCATACGCACTATCTGCATTTATAACGAGATTTTGTCGTTTATTAATCCACCAGGAATGATGAAGCTTCTAAGATAAGTGAACACGTTGATGTATACAATTATTTTACTTCCTATCATTGATTTTGATCTTGACTTAGACTCATCCTGAAGCAATAATATGCAATTAGTGGAAGTGAAACATATTCAAAAGACTGGTATTGTTTTTGAATGCCAAAATAGAATAACTTAACAGTACACACTCGCCACCTTATATAAAATGACTCACGGCTAACATTTCTCTGTATGATATCATTTAAACAGTGAGATTTTATTCAACAATTTAATTTTTTTTTCAAACAGTACATTAGAGAAGTGGATGGGAAAAGAAGAGAGACTTACTCATATTTGCTTTTTTCAATAGATTCTTTTTTCTGTTTCATTCGTCTATTTTGAAACCAAATTTTAATTTGACGTTCAGTTAAACCAAGTTGTTCAGCTAATTCTAATCGTCTTGGTTGCCCTAAATAATTGGAATAATGAAATTCTTTTTCTAATTCAATTAATTGTAAATTTGTATAAGCTGATCTAGATCGTTTATTTGTTGAACTAACAACCACTGCCACAGATGACGATGATGATGATGATGATGACGTTGTTGTTAATGATGTAGCACAAGTTGTTGGTTCTTTAGATGAAAATTCCACCTTTTTTGTAGTAGTCACGAAATTACTAATTTGTTCATTTCTGATTATTAATTGATTATTTAACAGTGATATGTTATTGTTAACGTTTAAACCAGAATCATCATTGTTGTCAACATGTTCAATAGACTTTTGATATATTGGAGATTTTAAATGTCCTTAAGAGAATTGAAAAAGAAAATATAATTCAATGAATATAAACGTACTTAAATATTATTTTAAAATAAAGTTTAAATTGATATTCGATGAGTTTATAATTCAGTGTACTTTGAAGATTTGTGAATTTACTTCTGTTATGAATTTAAGTTGTGGTTGACTTTTACCCTGTGCTAATTGTTGTGTCCTTGACTGGAAAATTAAAGAGCAGTGTACTTATCGATCGGTTCAATGACACGTAAACACGTACGGACGGCCTAGAGTCTCTATTGGTCTCGCTTCCCCGTCTAGCCCAGTTAGTTGAGTCCAGAACACAAGTCACAGCCTCGGAGATATGAATCACTATATTTCAAACATACTTTGTTTATATACTAGTCAAGCATACCACAGCGTACCATAAAAATAGAAAACAACATTTTGTACAATATTTAACAAGTGAACAGATATCGACCAATAGGAAATGTCCATTTAAAGTCCAAGGACACCATTGAACTTAACATGATAATTATTGGTCTATTCCTGCGCATCCACAACACCTCCCCTTTTTTTTGAAGATCCGGAGTTGATATCCGGATTTTGAAATTTTCTGGGTTCATCCTCCCCCACGAAATAATGTTGGGTCCTCATATTCCCAAGTTAGAATTAATTTGACTTTATTTAACACATAATTGTCAGATTGAACAGGGGAGTCACTGAAAGTGATTAAATAGTGGGGAACAATGTCGCTTGATATGAGGTCACCAACGTTTGATTCTTCTGGAACATTGTCACGGGATTTGTTGAAAATCTCATTTGTAAACAGTTGATCACTGCGATAATCAACATCTATCAAAATTGTATTAGATTTCTGATCATCATTTAATGCATTTAACACATTTTCTGGTACAAAAAGATCTAGATAATAAGATTCGTCAGAATCTCCTGTTGTTGAATGATGAGGACCATTTGAAACAGCTGGATTCAGTGTACCGCACGATTTGTTCCCTGTTCCGTTGTGGGCGGGTACTGCAATTAATTTATGAGCATTTAATAAGAGATCCTCCTGTGAGCTGGGTACATCACTGTCTGTACACGTTTCAGGAACAGTGGGATTTGAACCCACGACAGGGAACGTTTCGGAATTTGACATTTCTGGACAACTGGGCGGACCATGAATAACTGTCTCGTTTACATCACTGGTCGTCCGGGATTCACAGAGGCTTTTATAAACAGCTTCATATGTTCTGCAGTTGTTTTCCAGCTCAGTCTGCAGATGAGAAATGAATTTACCAACTTCTGTTGCACCTCCGAAACATGGAACATTTACCAACAGTGTGCGTAAATTTTCTAAAAAATTTAACTGGCTATTTTTGAAGCACTGCTGTTGTTGCTCAAGTAGAAGCTGTAATCGATCGGAAAAGGTAGTCATTTTTTTTTCAGCACCTGCAATGAAAATTAACTGTAGGAATAATGACCAATGTTGCTCAAGGACGCTGGTGACAATCTGGATGCTGATTGGTCGAAACAATTAACCTGAATCTCGTCCAATTACAAGGTTCAAAATTTTTCTCCACCCCGTCGCCAATTGTTATGAATTTAAGTTGTGAGACTGCAGGGTTTGATAAGCAGCGTATTTATTGATCGATCGCAGTACAGTGACACGGAAAACACGTACGGACGGCCTAGAGTCTCTATTGGTCTCGCTTCCCTGTCTAGCCCAGTTAGTTGAGTCCAGAACACAAGTCACAGCCTCGGAGATATGAATCACTATATTTCAAACATACTTTGTTTATATACTAGTCAAGCATACCACAGCGTACCATAAAAATAGAAAACAACATTTTGTACAATATTCAACAAGTGAACAGATATCGACCAATAGGAAATGTCCATTTAAAGTCCAAGGACACCATTGAACTTAACATGATAATTATTGGTCTATTCCTCCGCATCCACAACAACTTCATTTAACGAGTTTAGTTGGAAGACCATTGAAAGTCAGGAATCGTCAGACAGCTTTTCGCGTGGATGCTCGCAAACTCATCAAGGATGAGTCCCTAAAGTTCTGGTGATAACTCGTGACCGGTGGAGTTCAGACATGACAGAAGGGAAACAGTTGTCACCAATGGCGTTAGATAACCGTTCAGCTATACAATAAATTACTTGAACTTTTAGACGCCAACCAAGTGATCTAAAGTTTAAGTTGTCATCACGAGATTTGAAGATTCTGCGTTCTATGTTTATCAGAGTAGTAAGTTTGATAATGAGGAGTCTCATACAGAGGCGACAAGGTTATCCAGTTCTTCCTGGTTGTAAACAGTATCCCAAATAAAGTGAGTCTGTTGTGAACAACACGCTGTTAAGTATTGTTTATTCAGCTACATAGTTAGTAAATTCGATCATGATCAAAACAAAAGAACATGATCTTATTCTTATTTTCCTGAGTGAAAAGTGATAAGAGTTATTAAACGTTTTTATGAAAGGATTTAATCAGTAAGCCACTGTCATTCAGGTTAAAACAAAATAATTGAATAAAGTGTAATAAGCAGTTGTATTTTGAAATAGTTCTCATCATGGATTAACTTCAACTTGTGCACCATTGAAAATCAAGGACACAATGAGTTTCCGTCGTGGGATAAAACTCTATAACGGTACATATTAACGATTCCATTGAGTAGAGTACGATAAACCTATCCTTTTTTACCACAGCTAAAAAATACCAGAGTAAGATGAAACAACCATATGATTGCTCCTGATTTTTAACGATTCACCAATTAAAATTAGTTTAGAATGAAAACTGACTGCAAATTAGACTTATCTCTATAATGAGTTATGGTTAACTTATAGGAACACGAAGTGATATATATAATTTAATTTTGAAATGCTACTCATCAAGAAATTCTCCTCAGTTGAGGTACCAATCAAAACCAGTGAGGAGAGAATATATTTCTCGTCCTAATATATATTTATATATACTTTTCTTATCGCTTACAACACCTCAGAACAAATCACAATTTATATGACAGTTTAACGGATGAGCTAATTTGGAGTGAAATGAATTTATTCAATTTATTTAATCAAAAATAATTCATATGACCACTGTTCCAATGAATTGACCAGTTAGTTATATTGCAATGATTTATTTTTTTGTTTTTTTTTCAAAGAAATTTCAATCAGTTTTATAGAATTCAATAATAGTTTTACACATTTACATTATTTAGTTATTCAAACCATTTTTTCTTCTATCATTTTTTTTTCTTTTCACACACTTGACTTTGCACACTTAGAATCATTTCCCAACCCTACCTCTCCCCCTCCCTCATGTTTCCTAAATTTTGAATCACCATTCTTGTCCCCGACCCCGCCTACTGAATATCAATTGAACTCCCTCTTCTTGTATTGTCATCATTAACATCGTTATTTTATTTTATGAAAATTAATTCATCAATAAACCAATTGTAATTGTTTCTGTTTCAATCTACTTTTTTTTATTTTGACAGTTAAAAATATTTCAGAAAATAAGTTAAAATTTGATCACAGTAAAAATATGGAAAAAAATTTCATTATATCACTTTCTAAATTTGAGTCCTTATTTTTATATCCTCTTTTTCTGACCATTTTGATTCGGTTGCATATATACACAAACATACAAACATATTCATATATAACTATACATACAAACCATCAGTTTTTTCTGTAGATTATACAAAATGACAGATTTTGCTGTTCTATATACAACAACTAACCCATTTCTATTCATTTCAAACATTTTCTGCTTAAGGCAATTTTAAATTTTATAAGTATACTCATAGATATTCGGACCCTTATTCAAGGTAATCTTTATCAGTACATAGTAAATGTATATAACAAATGAAGGATAATATACATATACAAAATGAAGTAGACTGTGGTAGCTTGTATCCGTCAGTATTTGAAGTAATACGTAATCATTATATATATATATGAACTTGCTTTGGGGTATATATATAAATGAATGTTCATTTGTGGGTGTGCATATATCAGTTTGAACAGAGAAGGCAAGCATAATCATTTATTTTAATAAACCCTATAATTATCTACACTTGACTGCAAATTTATAAATGATGATAACTATTTGGAATAACGGACATTGATACTTGTACTGATTATCATAATTTAATCGAAAAAATGAAGTTTTTTACAACAACAATAAAAAAATAATCAACTGTAACAAACATTTAAATTGAATGAAAGAGAGAAAGAAAGGGCTTATCGTTTAGATATATCTTCTCAAGAGTTATACAACAGTGACCCATATATATATACTTAATTCTACATGATGTACATGGAGATAAAAACTTTTTCTTGTAAAAAGAAGAGACATTTATAAAAATCAATAATCCGTATAAATTTATTCGATATCAAGTTAACTTATCAGGTTTTCACAAGTTCGCATTACATAAGATAAAATTTATCGTTTAGTTTTTATAACCTGACATGACTTTGGGTATTGTAACTTACTGAAAATTGAATTAATATAAACAAATAAGCTTTGAACTTTTAGGTATTCGTACTATTTAGCGCATATTTATGAACATCAGTTCGTTTTATTTTGAAATCCTTTTTTCCACTTATCAATCTCATTGGAATTGTTGTCAGGTACATTTTATTAGGGTTTCTCCTATTATATATAATCTCGACAGTTGTTTCGTCCTGTTATGAAACAACTCAACTGTGCGCATTCATGATCAGGCACGCGGACTCTTGATTTCTAGATCATTGACTTGATACCCAATAGTGTTAATGTTTAACTTCAATTAATCCATAACATTGCTCAACCATCTTCCATAAACCCATACAAAACTATTTAGTTTACATAGGTTAGTTGTTTCTAATTAATAAACAAGGAATACAATAGAATTATTGAATCATTTAGAGAAATTCTATAAGACAAAACTAACCATGATAACCTGAAACATATTGTTTAGTATCATACAAATGAAACACCTAAATCAATTTACTTTGGACTATTTAAACAGTTAAACTAATATTAATTTCTGAATGAAGATAACTAAAACCTACATTGAAAAATAATCATTTCATCATTTGATTTATTGTGGAAACCATAATTTTAAAATCAATCTATTCAATAACTATTTAGTTTAATTAATACATTTAATTAATCTTTTTAAATTATACAGTTCAGCCAAATTTAATTGACTAAAATCTTATCATATTCTAGATCATTCTTTGAATCCTTTCTCTTTAAAAAAAAATAACACCCACAATAGTTTGTTTACATTTAAATCCATATAAATTCATTTACTATTGAACAATTAACATTGAAATTATTAAACTCAGTTTTATTAATCAGTTAATTGTTTTCTCTTTTTATCTTTTTTTTCTTTTTTTTCTTTTTTTTAAAAAATAATGAACTGGATATTATGCTAATTTAGGTCAGTATACATTTTTCTAAAAACTAATTATCTTATTAGCAAATATTGTGATGTAAGTTTTACCAATAATCATGATTTGATTATTTAAATTAGGTTCAGTTCGTACCGTATCATATTTTAAAAAATAATATAGTAACATCCACTTATTTACTGACAGTAATATATAAAAGAGTAGTGTACAATGTCACTAAAAGTAGTATTAAAAATACATAGAAAATAGTTCAAATTATAATTCCTTTATTAACCGATTAAGTTATATATATTAGGACTTGTAGTGTTGTAGTATTTTCACAGTTGAATTTATGAGTCGATTTAAGCTAGACCACCACTGAAAACCCGGAAGTACTGGATGGCCGTTTTGTTCTAGTATGAGATTCTTCAGCAATGAAGATCCACGATTCCACACTCGGGACTCGAATCTAGAACCTTCCGTCTCGTGCGCGAACGCTTAACCTCTAAACCATTGAATCGGCAACTAACGGTATTAATGCTTAACTCCAATCAACCCTTGATCTCGCGCATATATAGACTACAATTAATACATATTCTTTAACAAATTAAAACACTAAAGTCATATCCATTTATGATAAAACAGTGTTTAAATATTTAAGTTCATTAAAATATGTGATCTGTTTTGAACTATTTATCATCAACAAACATTCTCATATTAAACTTTTTCTAATTAGGTAATATAATTATTTGTTTAATTATATCGGAGCGATAACAATTAAGAAACTCTTAAGAAGTTGGTAAATTTATGCAATTATAGATTATGTTTTTTGGCAAGACAATGAGCATTGTTTTGACAAAATAAACAATGATCAGTCTAAATTTTCTTATCTATTCAGCAATTTTCAGTAACTGTTATTTAACAGTTAATAGTTTAATTACAAAAATGTACTATATTATATTTTATAATATTGATTTGTGATGTAATTTAATTAGACAGTTTGTAGTATTAGTTAAGTTTTCCAGTTTCAACATAGAAACTATATAGTAGTAGACTTTACATTTCGTTCTCGTCGACTGAATTTTTGAGAATTAATATCCTTATAAGTCCACTTATCGACTTAGAATACGCGGATAACATAGACCTTTTTGGTGAAGATGCGGACAAAATGCAGTCTTTTGGTAGCACTGAGCAGCAATGCTAGGATGTTTGAGATGCGCTTCGCCCCCTCTAAATGCAAGTTGTTGCTTCAGGACTGGCCAGTGTCAACATCAGAACTAAGGATAAGGAGTGAAGTAGTTGAACGCGTCGACAACTTCACTTATATTGGAAGTCTGATCAGGCCTAATGGGTTGGTGCCTGATGAAATCTCAGCACGGATTCTAAAAGCTCGTTTGACTTTCGCCAACTTACGACACCTATAGCGAAGCCGAGATATCTGTCTATCAATTAAGGGACGAGTATGCTGTGTGGCAGTTCGTTTTGTTTTACTTTACGACTGCGAATTATGGCCATTAAGAGTTGAAGATACTTGTAAGCTACTAGTATTTGACCACAGATGCCTTAGAAATATTGCTCGCATCTGCCGGGATCACCGTATAAGTAATAGTGAAATTAGACACAGGGTATTAGAGAATGATGACAAATATTTTGGTGAGGTTATGAATCTTCATCGACTGAGATGGATGAGTCAGGTGTTACGTATGCCTGAACACCGATTACCAAGACTAGCAATACTGACTAGTGTTGGGGACGGCTGGAAGAAAGTTATGGGCGACCAAACCAAAATGTGGCATCAGTGCTTGAAGTCACTAACTTCTGGTCTGAGCCATGTTGGTAAATGCAGACTACTTGGTTGGAGACTCTTGGTGACATGGCTCAGAATCGATCACAATAGCGTAGGTGTATACACTATTTGTCTACTCGTAAACTAAGAGAATAAAATTGCATTGTATCTTTCTTTTTACCAACTACTTTTTTCTTCCTGTACCATATCCTTATATTCAATATTTCTTTTATATATTACCACCATTGAAGTAACTACTATGAATTCGGTGTTCATCTTGTTGTTCTAATGAGGCATGGCAACTTGGGCTGATGCATAAATTTGCCTGGTCCTAGGTTGTATCTGACTGACTGATCTAAAATACAGAAGTATTATAAACCAAGAAGCACTGGATGTCCGTTTCGCCCTAATATGAGACTTCTCATCAGTCAGCATCTAAGTCCCTGTCAAGAACTGAATCCAGGACCGTATGTTCTCTCAGCGAACAATGAAATTTTAGACCACGGAGTCGGTAGTCGAATGGTTCATATTGTCTTAGTTCAGGATGAAATAGCGTCTGAGGCTTCGGGATTTTCTATAATTGTTTAGCCATTCCCCGCTTATTCTTCTAATACGCTGAAACTTTAGGTATATATTACGAAACATCATTTTGTAGTTTTAATTTGTGAATTATTATAAATTTAACAGTTTTCTGGAGTATAATTTAAAATGAATGGGTTTTTTTCGATTGAGGATATTCTATCTCCACTAAGATTGTTCCTTTGAGTCCTACTTAGATTTATAACATATTTGACATATTTTTGGAGAACTAGATAAAAACTCAAATGGAGAGAATGAATGAAACGAAACAGTGAATAAAATACACTTCACTTAAATTATTTCATATTTATTAACACACCGAACTGATTAACATTGAAATTTTAAATTATTTAGTATTTATACAGTGAATCATGTTTTTTTAATTAATATTTAAAACTGAATCACAAAGCAGGTTCTAACTTATACTTATCAAGGCAAAAGAGAAAGAAGCATATTAAAAAAGACATTACTTCGGAAATCGGAAGCAGACATCCAAAGAATCAATAGCACTTGGGAACAACTGGAAAGAAAGGCTCAGGACGGAGTATGTTGGAGAATCTTAGTAGGTAGTCTATGCTCCATGAAGGAAGTTAGTGAATCTCACTTTTTCCTTAGTAGGATATAAAACTTAACTAAAGAATAATTGATATCATATTAATTAATTTCTAACTTTAATAAAAGTATATCGATTAAGCCCATAATGGAATCAATGTATTGTGTGTTCTATTAAAAGTAAGATGAACAAATGGATATTACAGTAAACATATGGAAATATATATTAAACCTAAATAGACAAATAATAATAATTCTTGCAACTGTAATACTCGGTTTAAATCTCTAAGGCTACATCATTCCAATTAATAATGGAGAAAATATTGGTATAAACTCGGCGATATATGTTTTGTGCTATTTATCTTACTTTAATCTTGAAGCAACTGATGGATTACTTAGGATTTTGAGCCAATGTCGTCATCAATTAATCAGCTGAACAGCAACTAATTCCGTTCAATTATTCCAAATGGATCTTAGTTAATTTTTCACAGTTTAATACTTTTTTACAAGTAATAAATAAACAACATACTTACTTTTCATTGGTCTCCTTCTACATTCTTCCTTATAGACAAAATCATTATTTGTAATCGGTGCCATAACAGTTGAATCAGGCTGTAAATCTATTTGATTGAAATCAGTAAAATTTGAATTATCATTATGATTATTATTGTCTAATAATATTGATTCATTTGAATGATATTTTATTGAATGTTGAAATTGTGCTTGTTCTAGATAAGATGGTATCGTTGTATCCGCCTTTTTTTTACGGTCATCTAAATCATCTATGAATTTTCTTGACCAATTTATATTTGATGTTTCAAATAAGCAGTTGTAATATTCAGCTTTAGTTGGGCACTTATTAATATCTTCCATATTATTTACTTCATAATGTTGATATATATTAGTACTTTGTTTATTATATATGTCAAACGGTTGAACATTGAATTCATTCATTAGAATTTGATTATTTGTTATGGAGTGTTTTGAACGTCAAAGTTTGCGTATTTAATATATCTATTAAATGTATTGAAGTATTTATTGAACTATATGAGTAGCAGTAAAAAATAACTTCGTTGCTGTAATACTATTCAATGAATGAATATTATGATTTGTTTAGATCTTCAAGAACTGAAATAAATAAATACTTCCCTTTATGTTATTGTAACGGACAACGATTTGATTGGTTGATAATTTATCAATGGAATTTGTTTTAACCAATGGAATATTTCCAAATGAGTAGGTTTTTTTGTGAGCAGATTTCTGTCATTATCTTTACGTTGGTAGTAATGTGGGAATTCAACTTAAATGAAAATGTTATTTACCAATAATAAAAAAATCTTTTTCAAAACTAATAAGTTTGTCAAAATGGGGTTTTGTGGATATTGTAGTAATTTTTAATGGTTGAATTCATGGGTCGAATAAAGCTAAACCACCATAGAAAACTTGGAAGCACTGGACGGCCGTTCCGTCCTAGTATGGGACTCCTCAGCAGTGCGCACTCACTATCCCGCATGCGGGACTCGAACCCAGTGCTTCCAAGTCTTCGATGGTGGTTTAGCTTTAATTAAATCATGAGTTCAACTAATAAATTTGTATTTCATTTAATTTAAAATATTATCTTAGATGCTTCAATATAGAGTCAACATACAATACTACTAGACGCATAGATTGTAATGAAAGTTAGGATTAGTGCTAAACATTTATTGTAGACACCATTTTATAAATTGTGGATTAATTACAAGGAAATAAAGAATGGCTACAATTGGTACCTTTATGATAAAAACAACTGTACTTAACAATTTATATTAATGGGAACTATTTTAGTGTGAATTATAATTATGTCTGAATTATTTCAGTAATCAATAGTAATTAAATTAAAAATAATCCTTCTATTGAGTGCACAACTATGAGGCATCTGAAGAGCCTAGATTTTGAGGATATTCAGGTATATTTTAAATGATGATGATAATATTGAGACAAGAGTTTTGGCGTAAATATAGATTATTCCTTAGGAAAAAGCGGAGAGGTGGTCAGTGTATGACATGTGTCGTAGTATGAAAGAAAGCTGCAAAGGGCTGGCCTGTGCGGTCATTCACGACTCCCTGGTTGGGGTCCGAGAGATGGTGCTACACAGTGGCTAGCGACGTTATCAGATATGGCTCAGAATAGGAGCCAGTGGCGATCCGCTGTAACCTCTTTTTGCTTTCTTCATAAAAAGTGGTTGTATCTTCTTAACTGAATGATAATAATAACAGGGGTGAGCAATATAGTCAGTGTATTTAAGTTATACGCTAACACAGTTTTGTGCTTGTTTGGCAATCGAGAGGTTAGAGGTTCGCGCGCAAGACTGAAGTTGTCGCGTCCAGTGCCCGGTTGCAGGGTCACTGATGTTCACTGTTGAGAAGTTTTACTCTAGAAAAAACAATTGTCCGTTTATTTCAAGTTGCTTACAATGGTCTAGCTAAGGTTGATTGGGGGTTTAAAAACAATGAAAGTTCTATGATCTCCAGAAGTCCCACTAAACTACTAAACGAAGCAATTAATTATGAGCACTCATGCTCGATTGACACCAATCATGTTATTGAATAGATGGGTTATTTACTTAATCGGCTAAATTTTATCCAGGAACTTAAAGGAGTGTTAGTTAAAGCTATGACAAACGAACTATAGATGTTCACCAATTATGCCTCATGTATATCTATTGTATAGTGGTCTTGTTTAGGCATTTTACCATTGTGTTGTCTCATTAAGTACACTTCTTGCTTCTATTCTCCTTTATGGTGTTTATATTTTTAATAATTATATGTGGTTAGTTTTTTATGACGTGTTATTTTATTTCATTTACTTATACCGTTATACATGGTGTTAATTTTATATTTAGTCATCAAGAGATTATTATTATTATTATTATTATTATTATTATTATTATTATTATTATTATTATTATTATTATTATTATTATTATTATTATTAATGTTAAGGGTTAATTTCGATCGGATTTGATCATAAACTTCATTTTTTAAAATTTAGTTTTTAACTACTCAGAAGTAGTTACATTAAATTCGTTAAAATCTGTTGAAGGTAAGTTTACTGTAAATTGTGAAGTTGGGGGTTTAGTGAGGTTGTACTTTTTATGGTAAATTTTCACCAGGAAGTAATTTTGTCTGAAGGACTGATGGATGCGAGGTAGCACTAAAAAGTTAGTAAGTCTTGTTTTAAGATTCTTTATTGGTGCACGCTGACAACCAGTATTTAAAGCTGTGCTATCAACCTCTAAATTCCAATTCACTTATGCTAGTGTAAGTTCATGAAGAGACCATGAAAATAATATCGAATAACTAAATAAGCAGTTTAAAGAACGGGGAAACTATATTTATAATAATTTAACTAATTATATGTAAAGAATGAGAATTTGTAGACCAGCAGTTGATAGATTATGTAATATCTATTAAAAGAAGTAGAAAGATCGTTTAACCATAAGATTTACTAATTTAAGCAAAAACAACAAAGAGGGATAATATGAATTCACTTATTTGGCAGATCCCTTTCAACAGCTTAGAACTTACAACAAATTTGTCTTTACGATAAGCACTAAGTTATACCTAGCGAAGATTAAGTTACGAGTAACTTCTGAGACTTTTTAAAAGACTAATATTATCTATACATTCTTATGGTATAACTATTCAGTGGTTAGATTATTAATATCTACGTTTCCCTTATTCTGAGCTTCATTTTGACCTATAAATTATTATTGTACGGTTTACTGTTCTTAAGTTATACTCAATTATTTGATTACCGTCTCCCACGTTCACAGCCACTTTTGGCTTTATTTTGTATACATGCTATTTCCTATTTTATGGTGCGATACGGTCTGTTTGGCTAGTATATAAACCAAGTATGTCTGAAATAAATGATTCGCATAGTGGAAGCTGTTATTGGTGTTCTGGACTCAACTGGATGGGTTAGGCGAGCAAAGGACCAATAAGGACGCTAGACCGATCAGACCGGTCAGACGTCGATTTCGATTGGCGAATAAATTACGTGATAATTAGCCGGACTTAAAGTTACAACACACTATATCGTATACGCTCTATACGGGTTAAGTTCTTCATTAAAATTTTTTTTGACAAGAAGATGTAGATCAAAAATTGTGACGGTATTAAAGAGTCAGTGGTCTGTTCATGTTCAGGAATCAAATTTTGGAAAAGCATGGACACAATAATTTCAGAAGTGAAATAAAAGTTTAATGTTATAGTTTGTGTAATATATAAGTATAAAATAACGTCGACTATATATGTACAGATTAGATAAGAAGTAGGAAATTATGATTAATGTCATGTCCGAATGTTACGTAACACATACTTTTAATCCAGGCCACCCATTATGAAACGGGATTATCTATTGGATCTTTTTGGCAACATAAATTTGTTTTAAATCTTCTTACAGCAACTGATTTTGTAAAACTTCATGAAAGCGATGTCCTTTGTTTTGTAAACATCTTGAAAGATCTTGGAACGCCATCATTATGTCCAGTGTCAGTTAAGTGACCAGAAGCTGCACTGCTCAAAACATGTTGTTCTTTTAGTTTCAACTTTTGTGGCATATACTCAGAGATGCAAGCACTAACCCTTTTTCTGTCTTTGCAACTTATTTGATTTTTCGCTTACATATAAAGTGGTAGACAAAATTGGAGATAACATAAAGTGGCTTTTTTAGATGTAAACATTTTAGTGAGGGGTGTTTTTATAAAGAGAGGTCAACGTTGCTACTAGAACTTTTCTTTACGTATATTGAGATAATATGAGAGTACAAAAGTGAAAGAATTTTTGAAAATGGGTACGAAATCAAAGTTATGTTATAACCCAGTCTGAAATGATTTATTCTGATAGTTACGGTAGAGACTGTTATAACTTGTCGTTTGAATTCTTATTGTATTAGCTCTTTTAATGCTACTTTTGTCGTCACTGATTGTTATGTCGGAAACGCTTGTCACTTATGCTCGGAACGAGGGACCTCTGCATTTTCCACGACGCGAAAGTAAGAACACAAAACTGGTATGAGTGATGATTTATTAACCCCAAAACACGACGACGACGATTCTAGTAAAAAATACACTCATTTATATATTGATTGTACACCCATTTTGACTAATAATTAGGATGAAATCACATATATGAAAAATACTTAGAGTTATAACAAATCAAATACTGAGCATAGTTCATGTCAATTGAATACAAGAATATCGCATAGTATACAGAATAAAATACCAGACGAGAATGAATGAATGTCGTTGAAGGACACTGGCAAGAATTTCGTACTTATTAGAGTTCTTTCGTTGTTTTACCAGATCTGAGTTATCTTAATGACTCACCTGCTTTTGATCAAATTTCTTACAAAAATGGGGAAAAATTGTCGGATGCATCAAACGATGATCGAGAACCTAATAAAATTTTGATAGATGCTGATTATTCTAGTGATCGATTATCTGCTAATGAAATTTTCAAGAGATCTGATGAAAATGTTTCACAAGAATCAAACCTTAATGACCTCATATCTAATGTCGCTGATCCTCATCATCTAGTCAGTTCTGGTGGAGTCAAACTAACTGTAACTTGGGGATATGAGGACCCAACATTATTTCGTGGGGGAGGACGAAGTCATAAAATTTAAAGATGGATCTCAATATAGTCTTCAAAAAAAAGAGGAGGTGATATGATAAAAAGAAAAGTCAATTTTCCATTGATTTACTCATTATGAGTTTTGTTCAAGATTACCCCCGTAAACACTTGACTATGTCTTTCCAACACAACATCCGTTTCCACTGGTTTATTGGTTCGCACGGCGCTGCATATGTGGTTAATGGAGTGATTTGCTAATTGTAGTGTTTCTATTAGGTCTAGACTCAGAAAGACAAGTAAACCCACGAATGAGTATCGTACGGTCACTCGTAGCTT